CTCCTCGCTCTCTTCGCCCTCCTCACTGGAGGAATCACCTTCAGCTTCACCTTCAACTTCTTCAGCTTTAGCTTTAGCTTTAGCTTCAACTGAGATTAAAACAACACATTAAATCAAAGTTACCAAATTAAAACAATTAAATTAAACTAAAACTCACTTAGCCGTTCAGTGATGTCTTCATAGGTTTTAATAACTTCATCTGCCTCAGCCGGGTCCTCCAAGACAGAATATAGCTTCGTATCTAAATTCTCTGAAATAAAATTTAAAAAAAAATTTAAAAAAAAAGTAATCACACTTAATGAAGAAATCATCATCAAACTTACCTAACATATTTTTCAGGACTTCATAATGCTCATCAAACAGTCCAGGGATATCAACATCGGAGCGGACCACTATTAGATACGGCTTTAGAGCGTTGAATGCGTCCACAGCTTCGTTGAAATGCGTGAGCATCACCTCTGCCGTGAGCTTCTTGTTTTCCATTGGCAAAGGGCTTGGGAACTGGGTGGAAGGAAATGAAAGATGGCTTGGAACTGGGTGGAAGGGAGGAGGAAGGAAAAGAAGCTTGGGAACGGTGAAGAAGTGAGGGGCTGTATTTGAAGGCATTTGACATGCAAACCTTGTTGATACGAACAGCTGTACATATTGTGTCTGATTTTTTTTCTTTTTTATTTTGCATGGTCTTTACACGCAAAAACTTGTTGCTAAAGAGCTTTATTGTTTTTGATTTTTTTTTTTCTTTTTTTGCACACACATTGGGATAGAGAAACATTGTCATTTGTCAAATGTCAAATTTTACATGTATTGTAAAATCAACACAAGTTACATGGCTTTGTCCAGTGCATAAAAATAATAAATGTGGTATATATATATATATATATATATATATATATATATATATATATATATATATATATAATTCCACCGGAATTCCTTTGCTTTTGGTAGTAATTTTAAAATTAATCACAGACTATCGTTTTTGTCATTTAACATCTCTATGTTATTATTATTATTTTTTTTTTTACATTTTTAATCCTTCTCATGACTTTTCATATTTTTAGTAAAGACATTTATGTCCCTTCTTATTTTCTTTTGTTATTTTTTCTGGTTTCAACCGGTTGATAAATATGATTACATTGACATAATTTGTAAATATAGTATAACTTTGTTACATTGACATAATATGTAAATATAGATTGATTTTAATTTTTAGAATATTGTAAATAGTTTTATTAATTATATTCAATTTAAAATATTAGGGGGGAAATGACTTATACCAAAAGTTGGCAGAAGTCATTTCCACAGACCACAACAACATCGATGAGTACAACCCTGGTCTGGGTTCTTACATCGACGAGCACAGCCTGATTTGGTTTCCCCCGGATGTAAGTATTTTCCCTAAATACAATATATTATAATATATTGTATTATTGGGTGGCTGTGGTGCAAGTAGGAGATTGAGTCAATTAGTGACTTAATCTGTTATGCAACTCAGGATATTCAGTTAAGCTTTAACTGAATATCTGCCTATGTTGATGGCATGTAGGCTTTCTAAGCAAAACAGTCCTCCCACAGCTCCCGAGTTCAGAAATAAACATCATCGAGTATTCGGGAGAGAAGTGGTAGACAAAACACTAATGTCCATTCTGCCAGGTTTACCATCCCAGAGACAATACCAACAACTATGGCTGGAGATATTCGGACGATCCTAAAGCTTCCGCTGCAACGAGACAGGTTACTCGTTTACTACAGTTCATGTTAGTCTTAATATTATTATCTAACATTTGGTATCAGAGCCCTAAAAATCTCTGCCTGGTTGTTTGTATTGCTGAATACAAAAATCTATTTTTTTTCGAAAACTAATATCATATACATTAATTTTGTATATGTTGTTTTTCGAAATTTGGTTCTGCTTGGAATTTAATTTTGACCATTAAGCATGTTTTTTTTAATTTCCTTTGAATTATGAAATTAATTATATCATGAGTCTTTTTAGACTAACCACTGCCTATTTTGTTTTGGCCAAGAAAAATGGAAGCCTACGCATTGGTTTCAAATGCAACTTGCCTGTGCTTCGTTTTCTAGGCAATGGCAATTAGTTTTCTGTTTCAGTGTTCAAAGCGGCCGGCGGCGGGGGCGGTTGTCGACGTGTCGCGGCGAGGAGAGATGGCGGTGCCGGGCTCGGTTTCCGGCGAAGTTGCTGCCCTTCCCCTCCTTCAGGCGATGCTGGACGCGGGCGTGTCTCTTTTCTCCCGTCGGCGCTGCATCAGAGGGACGGAGGATTCTCTCCGGTCGCCGGTTGCCATGCGCAACGGTGGTGAGCTTTACGTGGGGCGACGGCGGTGGCTGTCGACGGTAGCGCTGGTTTTCCGGCTACATTGGAACGCTGGATGGTGCGCTGTTGGAAGAAGACGGACGGCTCGATCGCGGCTCGTCGCTGCCCCTCCGGAGAGCACGCTGTCGCTTCTTCCCCTGCTTTATCGGCGGTGGAGCTGGTTTTCTGGCCATCTCTGTTTTCTCTCCTTCAGTGACGCTGGTTCCGAACGCTGCTCCTCAAGCTTCGGGTGGTGTCTTCCGAGCGTGATCAACGGAACAGAGTTGCGGCGTCTTCCGAAATTGCTCTGCACTGCTTCTTCGCTGGTTTCCGACGATTCAGGGAGGAAGACAAGGAGTGTTACGGTACGCCTCTATTTAAGTAGCAATTTTATTTTATTTGCCATATATTTATTTGCCTTATTTAGTTTATACATATTAATTTTGGCATGGTAATATATTAGGATTAATATTATCATATTAATTTGATCTTAATTAATATTGTATATTTTGGCAAATGGTAAATATTAGTAATTGTTTAATTTTGAAATAATAATGTCATTTAGTTATTCTTTAATTTTGGCATTAAAATTTTCAAATTTGAGTTCAGATTAATTGTGACATTATTTGTGATTGAATTATTACCATTATAGTAATTCTTGTCACAATTAAATTATTATTCATTTTTGAGCAAATATTAATTTCTGATTTGCTATTTGAATTTTAATTTAATATTGAGAGTTGTATTAATGTCTTTTAGTTTTCTCTCAATTTTGGCATTATATTCACAATTAAATTATTATTCAATTTTGAGCAAATATTAAGCATTAAATTTGCTACTTGAATTTTAATTTAATATTGATGTGCATATTAAAATTGCTTGAATTATTGCAATTTATTTAGTATTTATGAGTTAATAATATATTAATTTGCAAAATCCAAACTTGCTTTGTATATTTTTAAATTATTTTATTATAATTGTACATTTAGAAAAGCATTTATTAAAGTTGGATATAGCATATTATTAACTTATAGATTTTTATATTAAATATCATTCAATTTGGATCCTTAGGCTAATTTTGGACAATATAGCCTATTAAGTTAGTTTGTTGGTTTCTCATTTAATTTTGAGCATATTTTAGTCCTAATTTTCACTTGGGACTTTAAAACCTATTTTGAACAGGCTATTTAGGACCTATCTTGGTCAGTATGGATCCTACTATTATTTGATTGATATTTTAATAATAATTGTAGCACATTCTTTTTATTTTTGATTATAACATGTTGATTTAGTTTCAATTATTACTAACTACCGTATTTTGTTAACGGTATTTATTGTTTTTGATAATATAATGTTTGGATCTATTTCCATATTAGAACATTTATCATTCATGTTATAATTAACTTGGGACATTAAGGTTTATGGGTCTGACTTAAAGCAATTTTGTGCTATAATTATTATCATTGCGTGATTTTGAGTCATTAAGGGTTTAAGGATTACAATTACCATTTGAAGTCATTAAGAATTATAATTATTGTCTTGGCCATTAAGAATTATAACTATTGTTTAAGCTGATTATGTTTTAATCTATTAATAGTTTAAGGGCCTTAACAATAATATTCTGTTTTCTTAATGGTAAGCAATGTACATAGTTATGTTGCCTTTACATTTTTTTCGATAATTTGGTTATACCTTAATTTTAATCTCCGACTCATTACAGTCTTGATTAATTATTATGTGGTAAATTGAGATTAGTATTTAGCATCCCTTAATTACAATTTTACATTTATTGTAATTATTATTAATTTATTATTAATTAATGTTATTAAGTTTAGGGGCTAATCTCATTTATTATCTTTCATAATAATTATTAATTCATGGTAATCTACTATATTTGGTACATTGGTAAGATTACCCATGTCACTTCATTTTCTTACAATAAACTGTTGCGTACCATTGGGCGATTCAATTAAACACTCCGTGAAGATGGGAGATTTTGGAGGTTTTTCTTCGCTATCGCTGTTAGTGCTATTGATAGATGCAGTTTGCATCATTAAGGTACGCAAATCATTAATTACAGTTTATTATTATTGGTAACTACTGTTATAGCTGTTAACCATTTTGAACTAGTCACATTTTATCCTTAAGAATATGGAAACATTAAGATATGTATTACCATGTTTTGTCATTATTAAAATGTTCATTAGTGATTATAATACTCCTTATTACTATTAATATTTTAATTAATGATAACATTATTTTTATGGTATTAAGTCATGAATTGTTTCCAAATTGATTTATGTGACATTTATTTTCGGACTTAAGTTTTATTACATTTTAAGTTATATCCAAAAATGTTTTAAAGTTTAACAGTTTTAACTATTGTTTTTCATATTTAGTCTCCAAATTAACATAATACTATTATTATGGCTATTTATTGCTTTTTTGGTTTATTTGCGATTTTTTGCCATTAATACTATTATTAATTGAGTTTTGGAGAGTGATTTTTTTTTAATCAATTCAGATTTTGGAAAAACATGTTTTCCTGGCAATTTATTTAGTATTTGAATTATGATTTTAGATGTCATTGCCCACATTTAGTTAAGTATGAATAATTGAATACACATTTAGTGTTTTTTTTCATACTCTTTAAATTGTTTTATGCTTTTAATCACATTAAGTGCATAATATTAAGTTTAATTATGCAGTTGAGATTTGTGCTATGACTTGGTATTTGTGAATTTAGCCTGTTTCTCACAAAGTTGATTTTATGCAATTAAAACTTTTCCACATGGGCTTATAGTTTTTAACCTTTCAAAGTATACATCTATTATATTATTATTCAAATTTGGATTTCTTTTGGTTAGAAATCATACTAGTTTTGAATATTAATTGTATACTTTGAGGTTATTGCTCATATTTAAAATTGTTTTGGTTTATGCAATTTATTTAGAATATATGAGTTTAATGTTTGATTTTATGCATACTTGTCCACCGCATAATATTCTGTTTTTTTAAATTATGCCTTTAGAAATGCATACTTTAGGATGGAATTATATTAGTTCCTTATTAAGTTGGACCTATGCATAAAACTTTAGTTGCGGTAGTGCCTGAATTTATGCACGTTTAATCTGTCAATTTAGTTCATCAATTTAAAGCCTTATCCATAGGTGAATCTACAATCTTATAGATCTCCCAAACGGTTTTACTTCAAACATGAGAACACATGACTTAGGGAAGTTTCTTGGGGAGGAATACTAGTTCTATGGCCCTGGCTTAAAAGCCTTGTTGC